ATTAAAAACTCGACCTATCTCACATATAACGGGGTGTTTAGTTGGCATTAATTGAAATGCAATTCCAATGTAATTCAATAAAAGGAGAAATGACATTGTTTGGTTTGAGGGAATTACAATTCAATGAAATTGCAATTTCCTTAATTCATTGAATTACAATTCATAAACCTCTTCTATGAATTGGATGCAATTCAACCATACAAAGGAAATGAAAAAATAGTACTTTGAAAATCTTACCTAATTTCGTCCTCCTGTCAATTTGAACCGTAGGATGATAGCCGAAGGACGAAATTGGATATGATTTTCAAAGTTGAGTACTTAATTTGATAAAGATAATAGTCGAGGACCAAATCGATAATTTTACTATAGCCAAGAGATTAAATCAGTCTTTTAGATTCACCAATCATTCTATTAACTTTAACAAAAAAAGAAACATTAAATCTCTATTCAAAAGTTAGAATAATAAATTATAATATCTTGTAAAAAGGAAACTAAATTTAAAAAAATACTTAAATATAAAATAAAAAATAAAAATATCATATATCATATTGTTTTCAACAATTATATTAAATTTAAATCATCACTAAATTTGATATATTTTTAATTATGAGAAACCGTTATCAACCACAACATTTTCTTTAATTAATTTATTGCTACACCATCTTAGGTTCTTATTAGCAAGTGGTATAAAATATGAAATAAATTAAATCGAAAATCAAGACAAATAAAAGTGCTCCATAACTCTTTTAATCCATTAGAAAAAACATTTTTGCGTAGTGGTCTTGAAAACAACCAAAATGAAGTTGTAGTAAGAGGAATCTTGAAGAATCTCTTGTGGTAGGTAAGCTGTCTTTCATAGATTCCACCAAGAATATTCTAATTTTGATTAAAAAAAGAATTAATTTCACCAGAGGTCCATTGTCTTTGGTGACAATTTCAAATCTAGTCTCCCATTATCATTTTTGTCATTTAACATCACAGACTATTATTTTTTGAACATTTTTAGTCCTTCTCATGACTTTTTCTATTTTTAGTAAAGATATTTTTGTTCCTTCATATTTTTCTTTTGTTATTTTTTCAGTTCCAACCGCTTTAATTGGTTTAGGACTTTACTAAAAATCAGTTGAAAAATATGATTACTAAAAATCAGAAGTTACCTAAAGTTCTAAACCGATTAAACTGGCTAAAACTGAAAAAATAACAAGAGAAAAATAAAAAAGACAAAAATGTCCTTACTAAAAATAAGAAAGTCACGAAAATGACTAAAAGTGTCCAAAAAATAATAGTCTACTGGGATGTTAAATGACAAAAACAATAATCTGGAACTAAATTTAAAATTACCACAAAAAACAAAGGACATCTGGTGGATTAAACTCTTAAAAAAATTATCATTGCCTCCGATTTGTTTTAACCCCACATGCAGATTAATCATGCTTTAACTCTACTCCACTACTTAAAAGGAACATCCTTAAAGATTTTCAACTCCACACTTCAAGTTGCTTGTTCTTTGGTGGACATCACTACTATCCTTGATGAATAGCCCTCATCGATGGGTTCACACTCATCACCGTGGTGATGACACTTTTACAAACAACAACCATTTGTAGCTTAATTAGGGTGAGGCAAGACACCGACCCCTTGTCTCATGGGTTCCTTGTGCACCATCATCCCTAGTGACAATTCTACAACCTACACCCCTTCGTAGCAAAGGATACAATAAAGTTACCTTTTTGTTGTCAATGTTGTCACTATAAGCTATAGTTATATTTGGTGTTGAGACGAAGTGTCTCTTACACACCCAAGTGTTTACACCATAACAAAGATGATAAGTTTTCAAGAAGTTGGACAATTTTAATTTGAACGAGTTTTGAAGAGAATTTTTGTCCAAGACTCATATACAAATTGGAACATGGTGGCAACCATTAGTTACTACCATGGGCTAAACTTTATGTTTGAAATATCTATCTCTTAAACAAGCATTTTCAATCACAAAAATATATAGATTTTAAAGACTTCAAGCAAAATAGAAACCAACTAGTAATGTGAGAGAGAATGTTCTAAGTCTAAAATCTAAAAAGCTTATCAAGCATTATATTATTATAAGCTCAAAAGACTCAATAATGATCTTGAGTCTACACAAGTTGAAGAAACATAACAACCTTTCGTTGAATCTTGTTAAAAGATAATCTCCTTAGTGGATACTAGTAGAAAGAGTATTGGGTAACAAGATGGATGCATATTTCACTACTAGAAATTATGAAATTTTCGACCACCTGAAAATAATCTTAAATCAAGTTGAAAGCAAAAAGTGGTCGAAAATAGCAACAAAGGTTTTTCCGGATACCAAAAGTGGTCGGAACAAGGCTTTCGACTTGATTTAAGATCACTTTCAGGTGGTCGAAAATTGCATAATTTCCAATAGTGTTTCTTGTGGAAAGCTAACAATAATCTTGTTGGCGGCTTAGTTTCCAAAGCACATATATGATTGGTTCATTTTGTAAAGCAACATTACTTAGTGAATTTTCTACAACTAGAAAAGGATTAGATTGAGTGGACTAAAGGGATTATACCATATTGTACTGTTTGTTACTATACTAGTTTTAGAAAATTTGTTCTTTTGGCTTTACAATATAGTAAAATAAAAATAGATTATTGAAGGGGGCTGGTCTAATTAAAGTCTTAACATATTTCAAATGCATCACAAAAATTTATTACTACAATTATTTCTAACAATAATTGTAACAATTTGTACATTGTATTTACTTTATCATGTACACTTACAAATTTTTTTAGTTTTTACCATTCTTTTTTCTTTTCCTCTCAAAATTGTTAATACAGTTTAAATATAGTAACTCACTACTGAAAATTATGGAATTTTCGACCACCTGAAAGTGATCTTAAATCAAATTGAAACCAAAAAGTGGTTAGAAATAGCAACAAAGGTTTTTCCGGATACCAAAAGTGGTCAGAACAAGGCTTTCGACTTGATTTAAGATCACTTTCAAGTAGTCGGAAATTCCATAATTTACAGTAGTGACTTGTACATTGTATTTAATTTTTTTTTTTACATACTTACAAATTCTTTATGATTTTACCCCACCCCACCCCTCCCCCAACATAGCTATTAAAACCATTAAATATAATAACATATATATTGTGTTTACATTCTTATACATATAAAAATTCTTTCCAGTTGTACATTTAAAAAGTTAATATAATAATACTACAATAGTCATCATGAGACTACAAGTGATTTTTTTTTTTTTTTGAGTAAATACCCAAAATGGTCCCTCGACTATAGCTAAATTCACAAATTGGTCCTCAACTTTCAATTTCACCCAATTAAGTCCTTAACTTTGCAATTTTGACACGATTTGGTCCTCCATCTAATTGACCGTTTGTTGACCGTGATCGACGATCTCCAGAAGAACCTTCAGCTCTCGTCGGAGCACGTGGAGGCCTCCAGGATGACGTTGCACCGGTTCGGAAACACGTCGTCTTCTTCGCTCTGGTACGAATTCAACTACATTGAATCCAAAGGGAGGATGAAGAAGGTGACCGGGTTTGGTAGATTGCTTTCGACAGTGGATTCAAATGTAACAGTGCGGTCTGGAAATGCAACCGGAACCTTAAAAAACCGACGATGGACCATGAAATTACATATATATCCTCAAAAATCACAGTCAACAAACGGTCAAATAGACATAGGACCAAATTGTGTTAAAATTACAAAGTTAAGGACTTAATTGGGTGAAACTGAAAGTTGAGGACCAATTTGTGAATTTAGCTATAGTCGAGGGACCATTTTGGGTATTTATTCTTTTTTTTTTTTTAAATAGTCATTAAATAATCATAAAGTAGAAATATTGATATGATACTCTTGACATATACAATCTTTTTTTCCAGTGTTAGGTTAAACTTTAAACAGAGACCATCCAATTAGAGGGTGATATTTTTGACTGCTTAAATTGGACGGTTGGGAAGAACTAACAGAAGAATCTAGCTTCATTTCCAAATTCCACCCATCAGATTGGGTCATAATATATGCATATATTGAAGGATTGTTCAGGGTTCATACATTTTCTGCATAAAAGAAGCAATAAATGTCGTGTTACTCCATATCAATTATTCCATGAGGATTTATAACCCACCTGCGTTACATATAAGGCATGTTACCAAAAAAAAGTGCAAGTTGTACTATATATTCTTTATGGATAATCACGTAAATCCACAATCTAAGAGTGTTTGAGTTGCACTATTCTTTAAAATATGTCCTTTGACACTTCTTATTTCTAAGTTAGGACTTAGAGCAACACCATTGGTTTGCCTTTTTAAATTTTTCGTCAAAATTTTTCATAGGTTAAAAGAAGGAGGGAGCAACACCATTGTTTTGTGGCATCCATGGCAATTTTTCCTATTCTCTTCCCTCTCTTTCTTATTTGTCACTGCAAAAGCTTTGTAAAATTTAAGACTATTTTTTAGTATACTTAGATTTTTTACCGTCAGACACAGTGACTAATCCACTCGCTGAATTGTAGGCACCTCTTTTGGGTGGAACAATTGGTCTGAAGATTTAATGTTACTCCATTTTCAAAGTCAAGGATCGAACCCTTGAAAAATTTAAGACTATTGAGAATACTCTAAGATAATTTATTTCAAACCTCATTATACTACTACGTTTCTCTGGCGCCGTTATTGTAAATTTTCTGTCATGATAATGCAAATTAAACCCAAACTCGCTGGCATTGCTATGATCCACCTGTAATTTTCTTATAAGCCAAACACCAAGCATATATATGAAGGTAGGGGCCTCCATAGTCCTAGCTCGCTCATCATCTTTACGCTAGGAATTAATAATCGTTTTGATCCATTGATATGATTATTCTGTAATTATTAAATTAATCTCTAATTATTAATTTTGGTCAATTAAATCCTTAATTATTAATTTCGTAACGGGTTTGGTCCTCAGTCAAACTGATCGAGGATCAATTTAGTAATTATGGAGGATCAGATCGGTTATGAAATCAATAGTTGGGGTTTAATTGGTCAAAATTGATAGTCGATGACCAATTTGGTAATTACGACATAATTGAGTGACCAAAACGGTCATTAATTCTTACGCTAAGTTTGTACTATTAGAGCTGATATGCAACTCACATGAATTTCACTGTATATCAAATAGACGGCAATAGTGCGGTCTTGAATGAATTACTTGAGAAAAAGTCTATATATATATATATATATATATATATATATATATATATATATATAGAGCAACTACCTAAATTTATTATCGAAGGAGTAGAAGATAAGATGTAGAGACTCAAGAACTCTTTATAATTTGAAGCGACACTTTGTCAAATTTCTTGGTCAACGAAGGATTTTGCAAAGGCAAAGTAGATAACACCTTATTCAAGATTGAAGATGATGGTCAAATCTTATTGGTATGTATCAAAGGCGAGTTCAAATCTCAGTCTCGCTACCTCTTTAGTTTAGTTGCCGCCAACAAACCTGGCTTCACTTATAAGAGAGAATTCTTACACTGAAAGCATGTTGTGCAGTTGAGGAGGCTCGCAGGTGCTAGGAAGGGATCAGAATTATTGAGCTGCGCTTCGAAGAGCCAAGTTCAACATCTCATCAGACCGTGACACTGAGTGCTACGCAATTATAATGAAATCAAGCTAAGATGCACATTTGCTATTAGCTAGTAATAAGTGTTTGATCCTGAAAGTTTACAATTCGGAGGAATGTCAACTAGTTCACAAGTATTATTCGATTTGTAAAATAGAATCAACTTCACATTTTATTGCTTCTCTGCAAGTTGGTCCTTCAATACAAGTCACAACTTCTACGTAGGTCTAATTGCTCATTTTCTAACAAGTTAGAAAATCATGTCAATTTTTTAATAAATAAGTTAGAGTACGTATTAGAGTCATACTCTAACAAATATGTTATAAAATCTGGACCAAATAATTTTCCAATCCTAGCACATTTGCTTGCGTCCGTCGAATGTTTGTTACACTGCTACTTTTACAAGACATTCCACACAGACAAAATAGCCTCAATACGCTCGTGCAATAATCACCAATTGGTGCTGATGTGGTAAATACTTTGATTCCCACGAATACATGCGAGTATTGAGGTCGGATTCGGTTTGGGTCCTTTCCTAGTCTGCTTGTTGGTTTAAGAAAGTGGGCTCGGGGAAGTTATGTGAGGTCAGAGAGTCCCGAGCTGATTGAGATTTTGTGGAATTGTCCAAAATTAAAGCCCCCCCCCCCCCCCCCCCCCCCCCCTCTTCCCTCATCTCTCTACATTTAATGTTGTATTTATAAGAGGATTGAGGGGAACACATGCTGAAAACTCAGCATGTGGGGCACGTGTGGCTCACGCAGAGGGGCAGATCGGATGCCTAGCTGATTTCCCCTCGCATCTGAAGATTCCGGACGTTCCTGCTTCCCACCTCCATTTCGCCAGCTTGGAGAAATTGCCGCCTAACCTTCTAAGTGACGGAGGTCGGGTCCTCCCAACTGCTCGACTTAAGATGATTGGGAAGGATCCGGGATCTAGGCAATAGGGCTACTAACCAAGCCCCGGTCGGTACTTCATAGCATGGTCATGCCCGAGTAGTTCTGGGTCAGATTCCTGTCGATGACTCGACCCGGTAGCGGTATGGGTACGCCCCCTCATCAGGTGGTTATTTAACCAGAGTTCTCTAATCCATCTCTTACGAGGAGTAAACCTCCTTTGTTCTCACCTAGCTAATTGGAAAAAATAATTTGTATATAATTCAAACTCCTTTAAAAAGTAGTTGAGTTATATTTATACTAGTGTAAACTCACATCCCTTTCGAATATAATATAAATATATAATGTAAGACAAATGGTACTTAAAATGTCTTATAAAAATTCTTTTTTTCGCAACTCAACACATATACTTTGAAAATCAATTTGTCATTAACTCATTATCAAAAATTCTAAGCATACCCATTCTAACTAATTTTTCCAACAACAAACACCCTCTCTTAATATCTTCTTGAAGTATAACACCTCAATTAAAGAGTTGCATGCATATGCATGTGGTTATTCACTTGTACGTGCATGGCAATGTATGCATGAGCTGTAAATGTTGACAAATTAAACTTCAACCATAACTGGATGGCTTATTAGATGCCTTGAGTGAGCTGTCTGCTAACGTTGGTTCTAGTTTCACAATGTCGTCGTCTTCCTTGGAGGATCGAGCTGTGAGCTGTCAATCACAAACGTAATTTCTTTATTCTTTTTCTTCCTTTTTTTTTTTTTTTTTTTTACAGTATATTTTTACTCCTCCCCAAAATGTTGCAAATCAAAACAGGGCGGCAATGGCATGCACATTCTCATAGTACAATCCAATGGAATCTCCCTCGGTGTTGGGGACCGATCACATGCCCCTTCCCTTTTCAGCTCCTTTAAATACTGCTCACCAATTACCCACAACACTGCAACTATCACTCTCCATTTCCTAAGCTCTCATATATATATTATTCTCATCTGATCTGATCTTCCATGGCGGCCAAGCTGTCCAGTTGTTTAGTATTCTTGGTGTTTCTAATAATGATTCTCTCCAACCAGCTTGTTTTCATTGAAGGTAGAAAAATGGCGGCGGCTCCGAGGGGAACCCGTTTGAGGCGCTCCCAGAACCACCCTGCAGTTGGTCACGCCGGAGAAGAAAACAACGCTAGAAGGCCGCCGCTGGTGGTGGCGGCGGAAGGAGAGGTGGATTCTTTCCGGCCTACCGCTCCCGGCCACAGTCCGGGCATTGGTCATTCCATACACGACTAGTTAAGAATTATATATATTCTGAACGTACTCTCTGATCTTCTACGTGCTTGCGGGGATGCATGCATGCATGAATCTCCATTATTCAAAATCTCTCCTTTGTATTCATGTCTTTGGTTGGGTCTGTCGTCGTGGATGTTGTATTTCTTAGGAGTTTAGGGTTTAAACTGTTTTCTTATTAGCTTAGCAGGTTGTATATATTCGAATGCATGTCGTCTAAGGTTGCAATTGTAAGAGTCCAATTTCGTGTCTTAATTTATTAATTAATCTTCTTCTTCGAAAAAAAAAAAATATTATTAATTAATCTTAATTAATGACTGGGAGTTGGACAATTTTAATTTCCCTGGCCTCGCTGAAAACATCAACCCAGAGATCTCAAAATTATGTAAGATTTAAGAAGTAATTATATCAATTTAATGATAAGAAAACACATTCATATGTTATCGATATGATATAATATACTTATATCTTTTATATATTTAATTGATCTGCCAATAAAAAATAATCATAAATATACAACAGTAAGTGGGCTAGACGATTAACTTAATAACTATAAAATTTCAAATTCATTTCCTGGTAAAGGTTACCTATTAACTTTCTCAGTTTGAACTGATAATGATTACAGACTTTTTAATAAATCAAAATATACAATACTCTTCTCCCCAGGTTAAATTCCCAAGCCTAAGGGTCCCTCACACCTCGGCCTAATTAACAGAGCATTTGGGAGGATATAAATCACGGTGACTCAATGACTCAGCTGAAACTGGGCAAAATATACAATAATCATTATTACGAAATGTGTGTTTGGTCGTGCGATCAAAGTTCATTTAAAGAAGTGACTGAGCGCACATATGACATCAGGAGTGAAAGTATAGTGATCATCACCCAACTTTCCTACGAACATGTATGATGTAATGAAGTGTATGTATGATGACAAAAAACTAAAAATTAAAGTTTCTTGAAAATGTATAAAAGTTAGATTTTTGAACGAGAAATAAAATTAAATAAATGAATTTTAAATTTCGACCGAACTTGTTCGTGGAAAATAAAAATTAAAAGAAAATTGGAAGTTTTTAAAACTAAAAATACTACAGAATTCAAATTTATAGTTTTTGAAGTATAGAAACAACTTTACATTTCCAAAAGCATATATAGGTCAGCATTTTCATATTTCCACGTGCGAAAGTTTGAAAAGAAATATAAATAATAAATACATATTATATAAATAGTACCAATAAATTTGTAAATGCACTCACTAACACTTCAAGAAACAAAAGTATTACTTCATTCACATCGTGAGTACTAAAAGTGATGATGTCTGTCAAGTACCTTGTGGTCTTATGGCCAGGGACGGAGTCAGAAATTCTGTTGAGGGGGGAGGGGACGAAATAGGGACGGATTCAGAATTTTTTTTAATAAAGGCGAAACATTAAAATAAAAGAGATATTTAAAAAATAAATAAATAAATTACTTAAGAAATATAGGTGTAAATATTATTGAATATGAGCAAAAATAAAACACATCGAAACTTTATAAAAATATTCATAACAAAATATGAAACATAATTAATTTGATAAAATAATTTGAATATATGTATGTGTGTATTAAATAATATTAAAAAAGCTATTAAAAAACTGTAAAATTATATTAGCACTCACAGATTCAAACCTCTAACCTTTAGTATAACCAAACACATGCTCTTCCAACTAATCTAACCCATTCCTTATAATTAACCGTTTTTATATACTAATACTAAAACATGTACTATATATACATATATACATACAAAGATTATATATGGGGTGGGGGGCAGCTGATCCCTTGCCCCCCTTTGGCTCCGTCCATGCTTATGGTATCACTGTTATCATTTTTAATTGAATGTATCAGCTTAATGTCGAGACTAAAAATGATTTTTTTTTCTTATTTTTCTATATATGATCTGAACTGTTACATTCCAACTCAATCTTTAAGTAATCTCCAAAACCAGTAGAAGTGGAGGTAGGGAAGATATATATATATAGTAGGCATGCAGTAGCACAATTTCAATCTAGGGGCAGCAAATTAAAGCAGCACAGAAAATCTAAACAAATCTTTCACCAACCCCATTCAAATCATAAACCCAAGATAATAACATATCCTCTGGAATAAAAAATAAAATATTGTTACTATTATTATTATATAATATGCTACCAAACTAAACGTACGTAGTATATAATCACAGTGGTCCACTATTAGTTGTCTGGGACAAGCTAGGAAATTAACATTGTACTACGTACTCCATCGTAGCTCCCAAGGCAATGGAGACCAGACCCTAAAAGGTCCCTTTTTAGATTGCTTTTTAGTCTTTTCCATTAACTGCAAGAGATTAGAATCTTCCCTCATTTAGTCTTTGTTTATTTACATGGCTGGCTGGCTCACCAACGTTGGAACGATCGAGCTGAGGTAACCGCTAAGGGGTCAACTTAGTTGTTCCAACCGCTAAGGGCCACTAATTAGAAAAAGACAAAAATTTGTGTGAGACAGAGTCGATTCAATATGAAAGAATGCAATATTAATCAAGAATAAAAGTGTCTGTTCCAATGGCTAAGGGTCACGATCTCTTCACATTATACATACTTCCATTATACAATTGCGTTAATAACATTCTTGAAGACTGAGATAAATAAAATCAAATTTATAATAAATTAATCGATTATATAACCTTAGGGAGTCAAAATTGGAATCTTGTAATTAACAAGTCAATTGCTCAACCAACCCGGTTGGGTGTTGTCCCAGCTAGTCTTGTTAGAAACTAATGTTATATTCAGGCTGGGTTTACTTCAATTTAATTTAATTTCTATTTCCTTTTAAAGTTCTTCATTCTTCAATCTCGATTTTCAAAATAGAAAAATTTACAAATAAATGTATTCTCTTTTTTTTTTTTTTTTTTTTTTCTTGATTCAGTTTCTAGTTACTCCGTAATAAACACATACTTTATAGTTCATAAAATAATAATAATAATAACAACAACGTGTTTATAAAATTTGATTTGACACAAATATTGTTAAATAAAAAAGTTGAAGTAACCCTTGAGGTGATGAAAGGGAAGATAAGGCCTTGATATGAATTAAGTATAAAGTTGGAGATTCAATACAATCAGATTGGGAAGAAGTGATTTAGAAAACAGTAGTGTATTATTTTGTGGTATATTTTATGTGCAAAAGAGGAATAAAAAATCTGTAATGTTGAGTAAGTTGTAGTGGAGGACACAGCTGTTAGGTCGTAGTACAGGGTACTATTGCCATCTGATCACAACGAATACCAATTAGTTATACACATATTATGGCCCTGTTTGATAAATAGTTGTTAGCTGATTGAGTATAATTAGTTGATAACGGTCCTGTTTGGTAAAATGGCTGTTAGCTGATAGTTGTTTGCTGTTAGCTGATTGTGTTAATTAGAGGGTATAAATAGTTGATAACATTAGCTGATTGTAGAAAAGTGTTTGGTAAATTAGCTGTTAGCTGATAGCTGTTTGGTATAATTTCTTTTCTAAAAAGGCTAATTGAAAAAGTTACTTGGAGTAGCTTTTTGAATTTTAGCCTTTTGGAATTGTAAAAAGCTAATTAACCAAACATTTATATTGATATTTTAACTAAATCAAACAATTAATAGTGATCAAATAAGTCAAAATTGGCCTATAGGCCAATTTTTTACCAAACACGGCCAACATTAGTCGATTGTAAAAAGATGTTTGGTAAATTAATTGTTAGCTGATAGCTGTTTTGTATAATTTCTTTTCTCAAAAAAAACTAATTGAAAATGTTGGTTTGAGTAGTTTTTTGAATTTTAGTATTTTGGAATTACAAAAGCTAATTAACCAAACACTTATATTGATTTTTTAACAAAGTCAAACAACTAATAGTAATCAAATAAGTCAAAAATTAGCTTATAAGCTAACTATTTTACCAAAGACCCTATATATTTTCTACTCCGTAAATATTACATTTTTGAGATCGCAAAATCAACCAATCAAGTAAAAAAGCAACATAAGAGTATGAACATTAAGAGGAATATAAGGTAGCATCCCTCATTTGTCTCATGATTAGTTCCGTTAACTTAGGAATTATCTTAGTAATTGATTGATTGAATTGGGTTGTTGAAAATTTGTGACAAGTATATACTTGGATTAATGGCGCATGGAATATGGAAAATTAGGCCAGGCAACCTCAGTCTAGTTGGTGGGATAGTTTGTTTGATAATCATAATAAGATTCTAAGTTTAAATTTGATGTGAGAGTTAAGTTTGAATCAATCAGTAATGAATAACCTAAGTTGGTTTATCTTCTTGTTGTTGTTTGCTAGCTAAATTTACAAGACAAATTTTACCTAAAATATATATTTAGATAACGATTATAGATTTTTTGATAAATGAAAAGAATATGTACAACTAGCCATTAAAGCAATAAGATGGGAAGTGGGGTGGTGCATTTGAGCTTTATATCTTCACCAGATCAGAGGTCGGTCTTAAACACCCAAACAAAACCGTCCATTTCAAACTTTAGGAATCTTCCCACTTCCCACCACTGTGGAGCACGCCACTGTACTCCAGTCACCAGGGACACAATCACGTGCTCCTCTCTTTCATCTTCTCTGTAAAGTTCACATTTAAATAAACAATAATTCTGACTATCTCAAATGAGAGATTACAAGTTCGAACCTCCATTAAAAAAATATATATAAATAAATATTACATTGTAATAGAGTCGTTAATATCCTCGTACGTCTAAATTCTCTAAACTTTACAGAACAGGTACATGAGTGCAGGCCAGTCACGACTTCACCAATTAAAGAATTGGCACAAATATCATGGCTTAGAAAAATATATGTATATATGTAAACTGAATTTAAACTATTTTAATTGAAACAAATAATTATTGATCATAGTTTCATATTTAAGTATTGATCAAATTGAAATGAATGAAGTAAAATGCGAAAGTAACACTTTTAAATTATTAATCAGAAGAAAGAAATGGAGAGCACTATTTGTAAGAATCGAGGTACAAATATATGTTAACGGTCATTTTTCATTTAGGCGTTTGGTTCACGGAATGTTAGATTACCTTAGGGAATGTTAGATTGCTGGGAATATTAGATTACTCGGAATGTTAGATTCTTGTGTTTGGTAAAAATGAGGTATGTAAAATGTCAAGGTAATCTAACATTACCTAAGTTTAGCAAGGGAATCACATTCCCTCAAAAAAGGGAAAAAATCTGATGTGGCGGCAATGTTGGATTCCAAGGGAATATTATATAACTTCAACCAAACATAGGCATGTTAAATAACCAGCCCAACATAACCTTTGTTATCCAATATAACCCCAACCAAACGCCTAAGGTCTTCGAGCATACTGATTAAGTTAATTATATGATATAACGGTAGTTAAAGTTAGTTTAAATAATAAAATGAATGACATCTTGTGCTTAGATGACATCTCTGTAGCTCCCTTTGAGAAAAGATCATATAGGATTGAACTCTGGTGGTAGAATATTAACTCTTTGGTCTTCAACCGTTTGAGAAAGTATAGAATAAATACTACCTTGTAATAGAGTTAATAGTATTCAAAAAATAATGGAATGAATGACTATTGAAATATAAGCAATGAAAGTAATACTTAACGTTTAGATTAGTAATGAGAAGACAAATGTGATGGGAATACTATTTGTAAGAATCTAATTAAGCACAAAGTACAAACATATATGCCAAGGACCTTGTGATTTAGTGGCATCAAGACAAAAGTTATGGGAATACTATTTGTAAGAATCTAAGTACAAAGTACAAACATATATGCCAATGACTTTGTGATTCAGTGGCATCAAGTAACTCCCTCAAATTGGAGGTCATGGGTTCGAGCTTCAATAGATTGAAAAAGTAGATATGAACAATGAACAAATATTACATTATAATAGAGTCAGCAATACTCAAACAAAAAAAGTACGAACATATATATATTAATGGTATTTTATTATTATTTAAAGCCTTCAATTAGACTTAATTATATAAGTTGTATGCATGACATAATGGTAGTTAAAGTTAGTTTAATGATGCTTGATAGGGACATGCACGAGGAGCTCTTAATTAAACTAACCCCAACATTGATAATTGTAGAATTCGTCTCTGAGTGTTGATCATGCTCACTTTTTGTCTCTAAGTTAACATTGGCATTGTACCTTTCATCCTTTCAATTCGTGCTCACTTTTCGTCCCTGGGTTATACTAAAATTTTAAATTTTGTCCCTAATGTTTTTTTAGTAAAGGGACGAAAACTGCAACACCAATGATAATTTAGGGACGAAAAGATAGTATGACCAACATTTAGAGAAGAATTCTACAATTACCCTATAACTTAGGGACGAAAAGTGTAATTTTTTTTTAAATTTTAATAATTATTTTATAGCATGGCTTAATCTTTACACTAATGTTGGTGGAGCCCAGCTAAGTTCTGTTAGTTAAGAATGAAGATATTCTTTAATGATCAAAAAGTAAGTTTGATTCTTGTTAAAAGAATTTATGAAATTAAATTTAGTCTTGTTTTGTATGAATATTTGTTTTTCATTTATTATGAATTATTTAGATTATGAATTGAAGTTTGAATTTGTACATGGAGGTATGGTAACGATCGACACCATAGCCTTTACCGTATATATACATTATATACATTAATTTTATTTGTATAAAAAAAATAAAAAAATGTACATAAATTTAAGTTAGAAAAAAGTAAAGAGAATAAAATGAATACATTAAGTACAATATTACTATATGCACTTGATCCATGATACAACTCTTGCATTACAAAAAGTTTGGGCCTATACAACAGCCTGGCTTTGACCCCTAATAGTATTTTTTTTTTTTAAAAAAAATGTAACATTAACAAAAATATAGTTATTTTCAGAAATATTATTTTATTTTAAATATATTTTATGAACCAGACATATATTGTTATTCTTATGATGTACTTGAATGTATTTGTTTAATTGCATAGAATTGTATTATAGTGAAGTAGTTAGGTATTTCGATTGTGTCTCGTGTGAAGATGGAGACAGCGACTGGTGGCATGGGTGGGGGTTTAGTTAGAAAAATGCAAGTTGAAACATGCGGTACAACATATGACTTGTTTATGTATATGTCGTCTAATTAATATCATATTATGCAGGCAGGGCAATCATTATTTGGTTAATTAAGTCCATTTTGAAAATGACTCAACACTTTTCAGTTTTGAATTTTAGATGACTGCTCAGATTTGACAGCACAATTTTTGTATATAATAATAATAATAATAATAATAATAATAAATTAATAATAAACAATTTCTATAGTGCCTAAATACACCCACTATTATAATAGAGTAAATACCCAAAATGATCCCTTGACTATAGCTAAATTCACAAATTGGTCCTCAGTTTTCAATTTCAACTAATTAAATCCTTAACTTTACAATTTTGACACGATTTGGTCCTCCATCTATTTGACCGTTTGTTGACCGCGATCTTTGAGGATATATATGTAGTTTCACGTGCAAAGCTCAAGAGAACGCTCTTGGAGGTGACATCGTTGTTTCGGAGGGGGAAGTGCTTCTCCGCTTGCTGCTTGGGGATCACGAGCCGGTTCAGCTTAGAGAACGCTCTTGGAGGTGACAGCGCCGTTTCAGAGAGGGGAAGTGCTTCTCCGCTTGCTACTTGGGGATCCCGAGCCGGTTCAGCTTGCCTACATCGCTTGGAGTCACGGCTTTCTCGAAGAGCCACTCCAGGGACTTCGGCGATTTATCTATCAAAAGTTATAATCTCTCCGGCATGGGGTGCAACGCTGGCAGTAGATTCAAATGTAATAGTGCGGTCTAGAAATGCAACCGGAACCTTAAAAAATCGACGATGGACCATGAAATTATATATATATCCTAAAAAACGCAGTCAACAAACGGTCAAATGGACAAAGGACCAAATTGTGTTAAAATTGCAAAGTTAAGGACTTAATTGGTTGAAATTAAAAGTCGAGTACCAATTTGTGAATTTAGCTATAGTCGAGGGACCATTTTGGGTATTTACTAATAATAATAATAATAATAATAATAATAATAATAATAATAATGTGACAGACATTTTTATAAAAAGATGATGAGTATTTGAAAAATAAAATCATTCATTTTTATTTACACTTGACATGTTTAGTTAACTTTGGGTACTTATAATAAAGTTATAAGTCAACCTATGAAGAAATTAAGTGCCACAAATATGCATGCCTAAGTAGAGAGTGAGGAGAAAATGCAAGTAGGTAGAAAGTGAGGAAAATATGCAAGTAGGTAAGAGAGGTATAAGAAAAAATGTTAGTTAGGCTCAAACTAAGAGAGGTATAAGAAAAAATGTTAGTTAGGCTCAAACTAGTACAGTATATTATTGCTTCATGGTTATTTGATAAGGACGATTTTCATACATCTATTAAGTATCAAATCACAATATAAAGATTAGATACCGTTTCACTAGAGATGACTATTGTAATGTTAGAAATTGATACAAGGTGAAGTTAAGCACAAGATCGTTAAAGAGTTGGGTTGATATGATTAAGCAAATAACAAATAAGACAAGTAAAACAAATGACCAGGACTTGATTGATTTAAGCTAAGATGCCAAATATTGTACTAATAAGGATTAGGGAACTAGAACAAGGCATAGGGTAAGTGAGATGCACATAAGTGTCCAAATACCACTCTCGTAACTATTTGGACTTGCAACCTCACCTTGAACTCCACTTGTGACAATTCAATCCAAGATTTTTCAAACAAGAACACAAGGGATAAATTCTCCTTAACACCTAAAATAATATCGTATTGGGCATTAAATGTGTGAATGTGTGGCTAGTGTACAAGTTATACTCTCATAGCAACAAACACACTCCAAATAAAGCATATAATTGGGATCCAAAAACTAAACACAATTTCACAACAAACCCATTTCACATAACTTACAGAACATCCAAATAATCTCCTTTATATGCAATACAACTCATATAAGCATCGATAGCAAGAAATAAAATCAAATCCTAGTCCCAAACACTTAGCTAATCATAATATAACAATAGATACACAATATTAAAGGAGTAATTAAAAGCATAAATGAAAAGCAAAGAAAACTTCTCTATTGAAGCCTTGAGCTTGGAAATAGAAAGGAACAAACAATCTACCTTAATATATGCTATTCTAGAGCTAAAACCAACTAGAAAATGAAGGGTCCGATTTTTGGGTAGAAAGGGTTCTCTTAAAAACAAGGCAAAGTGCCTTTTTAAAAGTTGCAGAGTCTGAGCACAGGCACGAGCACGAGTGTGCCTATACCTGTGTCCAGCATAACTATGGCCATTGTCTTGTGGGCACGGGTGCAGGCAAGGGCGTGCACAGACCTGTGCCCACAAGGCAGAACATTCTGCCTGCTAGCCATAGGATTGGGCACGCTCGTGGCTAGCAGGGGAGGCCTCCAAGTTCTTCGGTGCTCTCCTCGGTCGCGGTCACGCCATGGTCCATTTCAAAACGCTCAAAACTCCAAAAAACATTACTATGGTCATCCAATTGCTCTCATGTTAAGGTGACTTCAAAAACTTGAATAGACACTTCATCAAATAATGCATCAAAACATCATTCTTTGTCAAATCACCTAACACACGCAATCATTTCATAAGTGACCAAAATGACTCCATAATATAATGATCGTAACAAGCAAAAAATCAAAATGTGTACGGAAAAAATATTAGTTTAAGACATTCATAATTACTTTTGTGGCTCTCCTTGAGAAAATGTCACAAGATTGAACTCCGGTGGTGAGGTATTGACTCTTTGAGCTATAACTGATAGAGAAAGTATATACTACATTATAATAGAGTTGATTGTACGTACTAAAATAATAAAAATAATATTGTAAACCATTTTTATAAATTTGATATATATTTTAAACAATAACTTATATTGTACTCCAATATATAATGTCTATATATTATTACAATTGAAGAAGAAAAGAAAATATATGGTGGATACATGTGCATGACAACAATAATTGAAAAAGATAACTAAAGTTATAACGGTAGGAGTATTTTTGATCAAAATATTGTATAGTACCACTCTTATACCATAATGTATTTTTAACAAAAAGTAACGTAAAAAACAGAAATAAATGAACATTATAACTTTTATTCACACTTATTACTTTTGTATCAAAATCTTAAATTTGGAACAATATTTATTATTAACTGCTTTAAAGTCAAAAAACGACTACACTAAGTTCATATATACTTAGATTTCACGATAGAACCAGTAGCTTTCAAAAAAAGATTTCACGATATAACGATTGCTTAGATTTGGTGAAGACCAAGTGGTGATCTGACAATCCTTATGCTATGGACCCGTGTCCAGCATGCATTGTGGGCACGGTAACGGTGTTGTTAGTGGCACGTTATCTTTCACTTTAAAAAAAAAAAAAAAATCAGACCGCTTCGTTATAGGAGTATATGTTCATAATTTTATCACTATATGTTCATAATTGTAAGTTTATAATGTCAGAACTCTGTGTTCATAATTCCATAACTGTACATTCATACTTCCATAACTGTACATTCGTAATTCCGTAACTGTACATTCATAATTCAATAACTGTAAATTGATAATTTTCGAAGCTCTTTGTTCACAATTTTAGAGCTCTATGTTCATAATTTTATCACTATATGTTCATATTGTAAGTTCATAATGTCAGAGCTCTGTGTTCATAATTCCATAACTGTACATTCATAATTCCATAACTCTACATTCATAATTCCCTAACTGTACATTCATAATTCCATAATTGTACATTCATAATTTTCGAAGCTCTATGTTCACAATTTTAGAGCTCTATGTTCATCATTTTATCACTATATGTTCATAATTGTAAGTTCATAATGTCAGAGCTCTGTGTTCATAATTCCATAACTGTACATTCATAATTCCATAACTGTACATTCATAATGACACAAACGAATAACGCCCTTAACAGCGAGACAAAATCAATTTTTTTAACTGAAATGTTACGTTTTCCTTAAAACGACGTCGTTTTGGACTCGTGTCTACAATGCATCAAGGACACGAGTCCACATCATAATTTGCGGTGATCTGATGAGCTTGTGTCTAGAATTCCTTAAAGCGGCCCAATATGTTTGTGTGCAAAGAGTCCATTTATGCTTGCAAATAAATTTGAGGTTGGATAAAGTGGCTGTTGGGAAAATATCACCAATGCCAAGCCCACCTATACTAAACACAATCGTTATATCGTGGACGAGGGCGCACAATACATTTTGCATTCTAAAAAATTTCATGTTTTGTATATACAGAATTGTATAGTAGAATACACATAAATTCCAAACATAATACACATAATCTAACATAATACATAATACACATAAACACAAAAATAAATAAAATAAAACTGTAACGGGATTGGACGGACGGAACAATGTCCGTCGTGTCAACTCTCCCAACTTATAGAAACGACGTCGTTTTGAGTACGGGCGCTCAATGCATTGTGCGCCCTAGTGTACGATATAATTTGCCTACTAAACAACTTTGATATTGGATGAAGGCAAATTATACAGTGGATTACAATGTAGTAACATATGCTATTTAGAGAGTCACTTCGTACCACTAGAATACAAGATCATTAGCAGATAAATGTATACTTTTAATATATTGAATTCCATTTTTTTTTTGTGTACTAAAGGTATTTGTTTTGATGCATGGGCTCACCTAAGAAGAAGGCCTATGGGATTGAAGATTATGAGTTGATAAGCCAGTTGTTAATATGACCGCTATTTTCCACCAATTATATATCATGGACCAAGATTTATCTTGTATTATGAATCTTAGTTCAAAAATTGTATACATGTAGTCAACTTATTATATTTTTTTTAGTTAATAAATTAAATGTCAACTACGATTAACATATTATATATATGGAGTTAATATATTATGTGTATGCAATTATTATATTATGTGCCTATAGTTAATATATTATGTACCTCTAACTTATTTACATTCGCATAATATATTAAATGTAGACATATAACTTAACCACATAATATGAATATTATTTTAGACCAAGATTTACAATGTAAAGTGAATTCTGGTGGTTGGGTGGGTAAAGCAATTCCATCGGAGGTGGTTGAGAAGCTTGAAGGAGACTACAATGGCGGGTCTGTGCATGGCAGGCAAAGCGAGATGAGTGAAAAGAATTGAACAGTAGAAAAAGAGGCAGAATACCGAACTGATGAACGACTGACGTTGACTTTGCAGGAAGGAAGATACATATATATATACGGTGGTGTGGTTAACGGTAGGCGGCCACGGGCCACCATGGAAATAACTTCAATTCTGAAACCAATCATATCATTCACATGCCACCGGGATTTCATAGGGACCATTATCTATCTATATATATCTTCCAACTAACCCATCCCCTACAGAGATCAGAGAGAGAGAGCTGGCAGAGACAAATTTGAAGCTGACAACGACAACCACTTCCAACACTACTTTAATTCTAACCACCTTAATTATGTTTTATGTATTATTGTCCTTCATTATCATCCTCATCGTCCTAGTTTCTGCTTCCATCCATCAGTCCTAATTCCTTAATACGAACTACCGAGTATCCAGCACTGTACTAAGGAGAGGAGAGGGGCTTAGCTTTAATTTTGTACTGAAGCCTTGCTGGTGGATAAATGGGCGGGCCAAGGAGAGAAATGTATGTGGTCCAACTCCACCCTACAAACCAGCCTATGACTATGACTATTCCACTATCGGCCCATGCGCTTACAAAGGCCAATTTATATCGTGCACCACGGCAATGTGCGCGCAGCACAAAACGCGCGCGTTTCTTGTTGACGTCATTCCGTCCGTTTGAACAGACCAAAACTTATTATGTGTATTCAGTTCAAAGTTGATGTGTATTGTGTTATGAGTTTATGTGTATTCAGTTAAGAGTTTATGTGTATTATGTTAACCAAACCCCATTATGTGTATTCAG